CTTCCTAAGTGGAGCACTTTGCATTTGTCTTTGTTAAACTTCATCCTGTTTACCTCAGACCATTTCTCCAATTTGTCCAGATCATTTTGAATTATGACCCTGTCCTCCAAAGCAGTTGTAATCCCTCCCAGTTTGGTATCATCCGCAAACTTAATAAGAGTACTTTTTATGCCAATATCTAAGTCGTTAATGAAGATATTGAACAGAGCCGGTCCCAAAACAGACCCCTCGGAATCCCACTTGTTATGCCTTTCCAGCACTGGGACGTGGGGACTGCGGGAAACAGTGCTGTGATTAGAACTACCGTCCCTTTACCTCCTTTGCTTTTACTTGGTCACAGGCTTAAAGCTCTAATTGGGGGTTTGGGAGATTTGGGGAAAAGAGTGAGGAAAAGACACTTTTGTTCCATCCTGCCTGAAAGATGGAGAAATGTTCCCTCTTCCCCCCAAAAGTTGTAGCATCTATGGGTACTCCTTATGTGGCTGGCACAGGAGGTCCAGTATGCACACTGAAATTGGCTCACTGCCCTAGTTACACTCAGTCTCCCCAGAGCAGGATTTAGGCTGTGAATTTGCTGTAACTGCGGGGAGGGAGAAGTATGTCACTTAGGGTGGCTCCGACCCCCTCTTGGCCCCACCTACTTACTGCACATCCCATATTTGAGGAGGCCCCCTGAAATGGTGGGCCATCATTCCACTTAGCCACTGCAGGACTCCTCTGTGGACTTGTTCCCTGCTGCACAGCCCACGCCTTACTTCCCCATAGTTTTTCTAGGTACAGCATTTCATCACATGTTCTATGTTTCATCACACACTTCAGCTCAGCCTCCTCCCAGTTCAGCCATACGTGTATATATAGCAAGAGGAACTAAGGAAGGATGGTCAGTCCAGATGTCCAGCCTCAATTCTGAGTTACCTTGCATTTGTGCAGTCCGACCCTTCACACTACCTAACTGCTCCATGTAGATGGATCAATTCCAGGAATCATCCTTGGTGCAAGATGTTAAACTGCGCTGCAGTGCCACCGGTTATTAGTGGTGTCTCCAGAGATGGCCTGGTTCCAAAGAGGCCCTTTAGAGAACTCTACTTTTATTCTGGAGAACTTCAGTTTTATCCTTTTGAGTGAGGATTATTTTGTGATACAGGGAAACAGGAGTGACGAGGCAAGAAGCAGAGTAATTTGGAATAACAAAAGACTTTCAACAATAAATCTCTAACCCCTAATATCTCTGTACACTATGCAATTATCTAGATGACTTATGCTCTGTTTAAAAAAACAAGCACACACTGGGGTCTTCCTAATAACCATCATGTTAATAACAGTACAGGCCACTTCTGGAGGGCTCAAGGTGTGGTCTTTATGGTAATTTTTGTGTCTATCTTCTCCCTTTTCAAGGCTGCAAGGGAGTAAGTGGAAATGTACAGAGAGGGGATTTGAAATGTTGTCAAAAGAGAAGGGCATGATCCTGCAAGATGACTTTAGTGAGAGCTGAGGGCAATTAGCACTTCCTAGGAGGTGCTTAGCACCTTTTAGGATTGGTCCCTGGCCCCTAAGTGTGCTGCCAACATGCTCATACTGTGGCAACCATTTTATTATTAACACTTGTAATTCCTAATCATAAAGATTTAATGGATTTGCTTTGTTTCCTTAGGGATGAATTAACAGTATTTCACCAAAGGGAACTCAAGAGTAATTCTGACATGTTTGTAATATGAAAGGTATTGCTATTTCTTCCTAAGTGGACACGCAACTGAAATACATATAGGTCTTGATTCAGCCAGGTATTTAAGCACATGTCTAACTTTAATCACAAGAGCAATGCCACTGAAAACACCTAAGTATCTTGCTGAACTGAGGTGATAGGTCATTGTAAAAAGTGGTTTACAAATGGCTTCACTACAAATTCACTTCTCAGCCCCTGGAACTCTGGTCAGCTCACTTGGCTTGCACCTTTTAAATAATGTTACTGAACTGTTTACTGGATGATATCGTTTCTTTTGAGAGAATGAAGAAAATTAGTCACACACCATCAGCGTAGTTATATTTCTCTTGGCAATAACTGAATACTGCAAAAATGTTTTCTTCTTTTAACTTTTTTTACTCTAAATTCTAGCTGCATTTGCATACAGTAAAATGAATCTATGATATTGTAAGTAACCACCCTCTTTAATTTGACATGTTCCAGAAACCATTTTTACGGTGTATTAAAATATGTGAATATTCTTATTGCAAAGTGTCCTGTATAATGCAGGTTCTCCGCTATAAAATCTTCTCTCTTGCTTATATTTCAGTCATTCTAAATTTAAAATACCAGTATACAGTACTAAAATGGTCCAATTAAAGAGTTTAATATAAAAATATCAGCACAAAACTCCTTTTTAAATTGTTTATTGTGAGCAACCCAAATGTCTCTTTAATTGCTATTAGTTGTAGTATATTAATGGACTTTGTACCCCTATAATTGCTAACTCATACCATTTCAGGTATTTCAATGAGATAAGAAATACTAAGTAAGAAAAAAGGAAGTATTCAAAGGGTTAATTTGTTTAGTAGTAGTAGTAGTAGTAGTAGTAGTAATAATAAGAATAATAAATTAGTTTTTCGCATCTTCTTCAGTTCAAAATCCAGCTTTGAGACTGAGGAAGGCTTCCAAATCACATCAATTAAATAGGAGTGGTCCTTTTACCCAGTAGCAGTTTGATTACCGATGACTCGAAGAATCTCTTTGTGAATGCCTGTTTCTTGTGTATTTATACTTGTATCACCCACTTGGCCATCTTCATAACTAAAAAAGTACAGACAAAAAATAAAATTGTAATCCACTCTTTATTCACCATGCAATGACATTTATTATATACTTTACAATGCTCCTTATTTAAACACTAAGCCATGAATATTATGTGGCGAGTGTAAACTCCAGGAGTATGAAGCTGATGGCAGGATATGCCCTTTCATAGAAGAGGCCTAGAGTTCCAACCAGCAAAACTGAAGTCCAGCAGGACCTGCTGGGGCTGCACTACTGCCTACCACTGGCTCACTGAAAGCCGTTGGCAGCTCACCAGCTATGGGAGCTCATATGCAAAGAGCTTCCTTTCATTACCATCACTGTCTCTTGGGAACCTCCTGGAGCGCAGTGTTATGAAAGCATGTGTCAGTTACTGCACTCTCCATCTGCAGTAACTGATCCTTTGTCTAAACTGGGGATTTGTTCTGGTATCAGTTACTTTTGGTCAGTCACTTAGGGTATGTCTACACTGAAATAAAAGACCCGCAGCATGGCTGTGGCTGGCCCGGGTCAGCTGACACTCATGGGGCTCAGGCTGGGGGACTAAAAACTGCTGTGTAGACGTTTGGGCTCAGGCTGAAACCTAGGCCCTGGGACCTTCCCCACCTCATGAGGTCCCAGAGTTTGGGCTCCAGGTCAAGCCCAAATGTCTACATGGCAATTATATAGCCCTGCAGGCTAAGCCCTGAAAGCCCAAGTCAGCTGACCTGGGCCAGACACGAGTGTTTACCTACTGTGTAGACATACCCGTAGGGATCTGTACCTGTGCAAGTTTCAACTGCAGATACAGTAAACCAGTGCAGCTTACTCCTGCTTAGAACAGGGATAACAGGAACTGGTGTAAAACAGTTTACCTTGTCTATACTAGGTGTTTACATTGGTACACAAATACCAGTGAGTGGCCACCAATCAGGGCAAATCCCCAGTGAAGACAAGACCTCATTTACTGCAAATTTGAAATCAAGGAAGCTCTGGGTGTCGATATATAGTGGTCTGTTAATGAATCAAATGTGATAAAAGGACAAAGACAGTTACCTTTCCCATAACTGGTGTTCTTTGAGATGTGTTGCTCATGTCTATTCCACAATAGGTGTGCGTGCTCGCCACGTGCACCAGTGCTGGAAGTTTTTCCCCTAGCAGTACCCGTACGGGTGCGTCCCTACTGACTCCTAGAGTGGCGCCTCCATGGCGCGGTATAAGGGGCGCTGCGCGTTCCCCCCACCCTCAGTTCCTTCTTGCCAGACAGCTCCAACAGAGGGAAAGAAGGACGGGATGTGGAATAGACATGAGCAACACATCTCGAAGAACACCAGTTACGGAAAAGGTAACTGTCTTTTCTTCTTCAAGTGATTGCTCATGTGTATTCCACAATAGGTGATTCCAAGCTATATCTGTTAGAGGTGGGTAGGAGTTCACAAACTCTTGGGACGAAGCACAGCCCTGCCGAACCTGGCGTCTTCCCTGGTGTGGGAGACGATCGCATAGTGTGACGTGAACATGTGAACTGAAGACCATGTGGCAGCCCTGCAGATGTCCTGAATGGGGACATGGGCTAAAAAAGGCAGCAGACAAGGCCTACGCCCTAGCCGAGTGTGCCATTACAATTGACAGCGGAGCGATTGCCGCCAGGCCATAACTGGTATGGATGTACGAGGTGATCCAGTTGGAGAGCCACTGAGTGGAGATCGGCCAAACCCTCATGCATTCAGCCGAGAAGATGAACAGCTGCGAAGACTTCCTGAATGGCTTAGTTCTTTCCAGGTAAAAGGCCAGAGCCCGTCTCACATCCAGAGTGTGGAGGCGGTGCTCCTCACTGGATGCATGGGGCTTGGGGCAGAGGACTGGCAGGAAAATGTCCTGACCCATGTGGTACGTGGAGACCACCTTCGGGAGGAATGAAGGATGTGGGCGGAGCTGGACCTTATTGTAATGGAACACTATGTACAGGGCCCTGAGTTCAGAGACCCATCTAGCTGACATGATCGCCACCAGGAAGGCTACCTTCCACGAGAGGTGCAACTAGGAGCATGTAGCTAGTGGCTCAAAGGGGGGACCCATCAACCGAGTCAGCACCAAGTTCAGGTCCCACTGAGAGACCGGGGGTCTAATGTACAGGAAGAGATGATCCAATCCCTTAAGGAATCGGCCAGTCATAGCATGGGAGAATACCGTATGCCTCTGCCCCGGCGGGTGGAAGGCTGATATGGCTACCAAGTGCACCTTGATGGACGAAGGCACCAGGCCTTGAGCCCTAAGGTGAAGGAGATGGTCTAAAGTGAGGTGGATCAGGGCAGCCATGGGGGAAATGCCCCACTCAGCTGCCCATCAGGAGAACCGAGACCACTTTGGCAAGTAGGCTCGACACATGGAGGGTCGCCTGCTTTCCAAGAGGACTCGCTGAACCCCTTCCGAGCACGTCCTTTCCTCCCTGCCTAACCATTGAGCAGCCATGCCATGAGGTAGAGTGCCGCTAGGTTGGGGAGGAGGTGGCCCTGTTCCTGGGAGAGCAGGTCTGGGCAGGACGGCAACAGCCACAGTGGGGCGACTGCCAGGCTCTTGAGGGTCCCGTACCTATGCTGTCCTGTCCGTCTTTATATTTTCCAGGATCTTGCAGATCAGCAGGAACGGGGGGGTGGAGGGAGGCATAGAGAAACTGGCCTGACCAGGATAGGAGGAAGGCATCAGAGATAGCGCCCAGTCCCAGCCCCCCGGAGCAGACCCAGGGACAGCGCCGGTTCTGCCGAGTCACGAACAGGTCCACCTGGGGAGTTCCCCACTCTTGGAAAAGTCTGTGCACCCCCTCTGGGTGAAGAGACCACTCGTGCTGAGAAGAGAAGTCCCGGCTCAAGTGATCCGCCCACAAGTTACAGGCGCACGATAGGTGGTAGGCCTGTAGGCAAATGTCATGGGCTATACAGAAATCCCACAGCTTGAGGGCTTACGGGAAGAGGGAAGAGGATTGGGCCCTGCCTTGCCTGTTGATGTAAAACATCGAAGATGTGTTGTTCGTGAGAACCCTGGCCACCCTGCCCTCCAGGTGCGAGCAGAAGGCCACGCATGCCAGCCAGACCACCCTGAGCTCCTTGACGTTTATGTAGAGAGCCCAGGTCCTGTGCCGACCACAGACCTTGGGTCTGAATGTCTCCCACAGGGGCTCCCCACCCCAGGTCCGACACGTCGGACACCAGTTCCATCGACAGAGGCCTGCTTCTGAACGGGACCCCACGAAGCATGTTCCCTGGGGAGGACCACCATTGTAGGGAGGCGATCACCGGCTCGGGCACAGTGAGGACCTTGTCCATCCTGTCTCTGGCCTGGGAGAACACTGAGGCCAACCAGAGCTGGAAGGACCTCATCCTGAGTCTGGCGTGGCCAACCACATATGTGCACGCCGACATGTGACCCAAGAGCTGGAGACACGCTCTGGCTGTTGTCACGGGAAACCTTGTGACTGTGTCGATGAGCCCTTTCAGGGTCTCGAACCTGTCCAGTGGGAGGGATGCCCTGGCCGACGTAGCATCCAGGACTGCCCCGATAAACTCTGCTGTACTGGAACTAATGTGGACTTGGGGTTGCTCACCAACAGGCCCAGAGTGGCGCACGTGGACAGAAGGAGTGCCACGTGATCCCGCATCTGCGACCGGGAGCTGCCCTTGACCAGCCAGTTATCCAGATAGGGGAAGATCTGGACCCCCCCGGTGCCTGAGGTAGGCCGCCACCACAGACATAAACTTTGTGAATACCCTGCGGGGAGTGGACAGGCCAAATGGGAGGACCGTAAATTGGTAGTGTTCCTGTCCAACCGTAAAACGGAGGAAGCGTCTATGCCCCTCGAATATATGGAAGTACTCGTCCTGCAGATTGAGGGCAGCGTACCAGTCCCCAGGATCCAGGGATGGAATAATGGAGGCCGGGGAGACCATGTGGAACTTGAGCTTCACCATGTACTGGTTCAGGCCTCGCAGGTCCAGGATGGGCCTAAGCCCCCCTTTAGCCTTCAGGATAAGGAAATAGTGGGAGTAGTACCCCTTGTGTCTGAACTCCGCTGGCACCACTTCCATCGCTCCTAGGCCAAGGAGCCGTCCCACCTCCTGCTCAAGCACAGCTTCGTGAGAGGGGTCCCCCAAGAGGGACGGGGACGGAGGGTGGTTGGGCGGGGTAGAAGTAAACTGGAGGGTGTAGCCCCGGGAGATGGTGCTGAGGACTTATCGGTCCGAGGTCAGCCACGACCACTCCAGGAGAAAAGCACACAACCGGTTGGAGAAGGGAAGCTTTATTGTGGGTGGATCCCTGATGTGAACTGGTAGGTCGCCCCCAGGCGTCCTGTCAAAACTGTCGTTTCCCTGCTTGTTTGCCCTTGGAGGACTCAGGCTGGGGGACTGGCACTGTCTCTGCAGGCGTTTCTTATAGTCCCGCGACTTTTTATAAGGGGGCTCGTATTTAGAGTGCGTGGCCTGGTTGGAGCCTGCTGCGGCCTAAACTTAGGTCTAGCCGGAGCCGGAACACAGAGGCCAAGAGTCTTGAGCATAGTGCGGGAGTCTTTCAGGCCATGCAGTTTTATGTCCGTCTGTTCTGCAAACAGAGCCTTGCTGAAAACGGGAGGTCCTGCAAGGAGTTCTGCGCCTCACTGGACAGCCCAGACAGCAGGAGCCATGACGCCCTCCTCATGGACACCGCGGAGGCCATGGACCATGCAGCCGTGACCACTGCATCCGATGCTGCCTGCAGGGTTGCCCTGGCAGCCACTGTACCCGCCTCCACCAGAGCTTTGAACTCCTTCCTGTCACGCTCCTGGAGGGAGTCCTCAAATTTGGGCAGAGAGCCCCACAGATTGAACTCATACCGGCCCAGGAGAGCCTGATGGTTCGCCACTTGTAACTGGAAGCTCGAGGACGAATACATTTTTCTCCCAAATGAATCCAGCCTCATTGAGTCTTTATTTTTCGGAGTAGGGATTGCTTGGCCCTGCCGCTCCCTGTGGTTGACCGACTCGACCACCAGGGAGTTAGGGGAAGGGTGGGTGTATA